CCCCAAAACCCCAAAACCCCAAAACCCCAAAACCCCTCCATATTTATAAAAATTGGAATATAAGTGCAAAATTTCAACTAAAGTTGCAAATTTTATATCATAATTTGAACAATGATTCTTCTTGTAGGAGAAATTAGACTAAAAACACATCTGGTTTGACTTTCTTCTGATTAACCGGAGTCTGAGCTTCCATATATGAACTTGTCATTTTTAACAGAAAACCGTGGCTCTTTTTGTAATCAATGACTAAAAATCAGCCAAGCATGCTCACCTCTATCATCGATTCTTCTTAAATTACACATCAGTGAACTAGGAGGTTTGCTATTTAGAGATCTTCTGGATCTCCTCAGAAGGCTAAATCAATGTTTTAATTTCAGAAGCTTAACAAACTAATCCTCGAATTACTCCAAATCTAGATTCAAATTTTGGTAAGATTTCTGCTGTAAATGAGCTTTTGCTGTCTTAAGAAGTTAAACTAGCTTTGTGAATGATCCTCATCAACCATTCAAGCTCCTTTGGTTCAGAAGTAGAGAATCTCTGAGCTAATTTCTGAAGTTAGAGTCCAACAGAAGCTCTATACTTACCATTTTTGGGAATTTGTTATGTTTCACTTTTGAAATAGAGGAATTCTTAAAATATTTTCAAGATCCCTGAGTCATTCTTACGAGCTTTGTTAACAAACACAGGCAAGGATGGTTTCTTTTCTATGAACTTACTAAGCTCAGCAGCTAGATCTTGTGTCTGAATCGAATGAGAGGGATCTACAAATGAGAAAGCGGCATACCTCTCTGTTCTGAAAGATGCCTACGATTCTTAGAGTACCGGTGATGGATTTTAAGAGGATTTCCAAAGTGCATCCTTGGATTCCTGACCTTTCTCTTTGGAAATTCGTGGTTATTTAACTGCTTCAAAGTAGGCACTGGCTTTCTATAGGATTAAATAGGAATTACTCATCCAGAAATTGCAACGATGCCTTAGAGAATGCCAATCCTGATAAAGGAGTTGGCATCTTTGGCTTTTCTATCACCTTGGTGTATTTTCTTTTCAAGTTGTTATTAAAAGAAGGAGGATCTGGACATATGGCTTTAGCTTTATAGATATAAGAGCCCTGAGTCTCATCCAAACAAATCTTGTTTTGACCTATTAATGAATTCCTTCCGGTTTTACTAGAATATTAGACGTGAAATACCACTTGAGTGAGGCATTTTCAGCCATTTCTTCAATAATTTTAGGCTCTAGTGCCTGTAAATCATTCCGTAATGTAGTCATCAATTTGTTATGAGAAGGACTGTGCTTTCCTTTATCAATCATGTCAAGAGATCTTCCTCCTACAGATAGGAAGTCTGACCGCCTGCTTGGCTTCTTGTTCTTTAGAATTTGTTGGTATTGCTTCAAATCCTCTAGAAATTATTTATAGAAAACAAGGGGTATGTACCTTCGATCTGGTGTCTTTTAGTAGAGTTCCTCGGCAAATAATAAGGCAACCTGCGAACATTATTTCTCCAAGTCAGTGACATGAGGTCAGCATTGTTCTGCTTGCTGGAGAAATTACTTTTCAACCATGCTTTTGAAGGCTTTTTCTTAACCTTGTTCTGCATTTTATTCCAATAAATAATTTATTGGTTGGGGTTTTGGGGTTTTGGGGTTTTGGGGTTTTGGGGTTTTGGGGTTTTGGGGTTTTGGGG